TCTTAAAAATTTAAGTAGGTAGCTATTATACATAAGGACTCGAAAAAGACCGCTAGAGACAACCTCACCGAAATTTTTAGTAAAAATGCAAACAGCATGTCATCGAACGCACCTCCATGGACAATCTTGATGTGCCTCTTCACGTCTGACCTCTTGGCAAATGCTTTTCCACAAACTTCACAAACAAATTCACGCAAATCTACAAAAAAATAAAGACAAGCAATTACTGAACGATTAAAACTATGGCACGATGGATTTTAGAGTCCGTTAAATCCCGTCGACTTATAATAAAAAATACTTTTAGCTGTTCGGTAGCCTAACTTAAAATTGTTTCGTTAAATTTCACCAATCGGGGGAGGAATTTTTATTTTCGTTAAATTCCGCCTACAAAGGGTAGAATATTTTTCGATTAGTATTCGTATCCTGCGCAACAGAAGTTTATTTTGACCGAATTTTATTCTATTTAAGCATATTAAAACAAACGTAATCTTATTTAATTTGATACTTATTGAACACTTCCACCACAATTACATATTGAGTTATGCTCACTAGGCAAGAATTACATGTTTGACCACAAAATACGTGAAGCTGTTCGGTGGGAGCGATACATATCTACAGGGGCCCTACAAATCAATTTTGCCGAAACAACTTTCTCTGAGATGGCCTTGCATTCCCTTCTAATGGCAATAGTCGAAATAGCAATCGGAAATTTACTATCAAAGACAGTTTACTTCTCCGGACCCAAACTACGGATGAGGCAAAAATTCTGGGCCCAAACGCCTCCGCAGTTGACTGATTTTTACTCGAACAGACGGGTACTTCCATAGGAGAAAACGACAGCAGCGAGTAATTCGACTTGGGACAGGGGAATACAAAGGCAGATCGTCGCAGAACATCGCAAAAGAGTAGAGTTTAGGGATTAGATAGTGTGGAGTGTTTTCCAGTCGTAGAGATCTTAGGCTAGACTGCCTTGGTCGCGATTAATACTTGACAGAGTGCGACTCATACAGATGGGGCGCATCATAAAGATGCATGACTAAGCTGCTGCAGCCTCACGCGGAAACAACACAGAAGTAGGCCAATGCATCGCAATTGCTCTGTCACGGCTTGCGTTCTAGGCAACACCTCTCCACGTTATTCATG